CGGAGGTCGTGGGCGTCGTTGTTATCGTCGCCGCAGAGCTGAAACCCGTTAAAAACGTCAGCAGCTGCAGCGAGCGGCTGAGTGAGACGTGCATGGCCAATTCTTTTGATGTGTGATGTGATTTGTCTTTCAGCTTTCAAAGAAAAAGTGACATGCCGTTGGGGGAACACAAGTTCAGATAAGGGACCCAAAAACGCGGGAATGTCGTCCTTCGGGAAGTAAATATAGATCGTCCAGGCACCCCGAGTTGCCCAAGGGGGCTGATCGTCATTTACATGACATGTCACCACCGGGCTGCGGCACGGCCGCACCGGGGGTGGAAACTGGGGCCAGGGTTACCCGGGATGGGTTGCTGAAGTTTACGAAGCCAACCTTTCCGATTTTCCGTGTCAAGAAAACTTAATTGAGAAGCGGAGTGATTATGAGTGGACAAGACCGCCGTGTTTGCGGGTTTTCGAACAAAGATCCAATTTCAAACTAGAGACTCGGCGAAGAGCCTCTGGCGCCATCAGCTAAAGCCCAAAGTACCTAGTTTAGTGTTAAATAACTCGTTTTTGGCTTTTTTATCGCAAAGCTTGGTCACGATATCAAGAGAGTGAGTAAGGCAGAGCTTTTTTATTGGTTGCGATTGCATCACCAGTAAGCCTACGCAGGGGTCGCAAGCCACGCGTAGTTAGCGTGTAAGTCGGTGCTCGTATCGGGCGTTCGATATGTCCATCTTACCCTTGACGGTTCGTTCCTTTTGCCTATCCGTCATTTGTCTAAAGCTGATCCCGCGAATCCTTCACTCCGTTGACAGCCTTCACAATAGTGACAATACTGAAGTTGATCCTTCAATTATCGCTAGCGCCAAGGCGTACATGGTCTAGTGCTGACCCTACCAAGCAACACGGCCACACTTGATGTGGCCAAGATACGGGACTTTGGCTCGTGTGCCTGACGGTTTGGCGGAATTCCATTGCCAGCCTAGAGGAAAAGAAATCACAAAGTGTCGAATACCAGATTACGTCAACAACGAAGGATTTTTGGTTTGAGATTAACAAAATGAATTGAGTTCAGCTACAGGCATTGTGCCTGAATGCGGCTCTACAAAGCCCCGCGAGCAATCTTCTCGCTTTTCTCGCTTTTCCCAAAGACCCACAGCTCGAAAAGATAACTCGACCGCCCACAAGGCTACTTCCTCCAGATTTGAAGAAAACATACAAACAAAGAAAGCTAAAAAGGCTTCGACGAAGGTTCTGCAACGGCGCGACAACAATGTCTCACGTCTACAGGAATTAAGCGGCATCTGGAGCCGGAATGCCCCACACAAACGACAGTGCGCTGCCCACAACGTGGGTTCCGTCAGACCACGCGAGTCTGCCCCAGGAAGTAGCGTCGGCGGTGGGCGGGGAGCTCATCGTGACGGTGAGCTCGAACGTCTTCTTCTCTCCAGCCGCCTCAAAAGTGAGAGTCTCGGGCGTCACAAAGGCCTTGGCCAAGTCAGCGTCGTTGAGAGAAATGTCGGCCTTGTACGTGCCGGCACCTCCGACGTTGGTCACGGTGCGCTTGAAGGTGGCGGTGTAGGATCCGCCCGAGGCAGCTGCGCTATCATAAAGAGCAGAAAAGGAGGGGTAGTTGAGGTCGTAGACGCTGTAGGTCTGGTTGGATGCGCAGGTGAAGTTGCTTCTGGTGATAGCGGTCGTGAAGGCGACGGTCGAGTTGACGGCGCAGAGCCAAGGGAGGTAGTCGGTGGGCGCGATGTCGTAAACGAGACCCGGGTTCAGGGCGGCGACGGGGTCCACGTGGCCGTTTCCGTAGAGGAAAGGGGTCGCGGCCTTGGAGTCGGAGGAGTCCAGGAGAGGGGTCTTGGCACCCTTGGTGTTGGTGTAGGCGGTTGTCATCATGGCTGAGCGGATGGCGGCCGGGCTCCATTCCGGACGGCGGGCCATGATCCAGGTTGCCAGACCGCTCAGGTGAGGGCACGACATGCTCGTACCCGAGATGACGTTCTGGTCGACTTTGCGGGTATCAATGTCAAGACCGGTAGGTCCAGTGCCGGCCCAGGCTGCCAGGATGGAAACACCAGGTCCCTGTCATTGTGTTAGTCTATTGACAATCATACACAGCCTCCCTCACAACTTGACGTTGTTGCTCGTAACGTACCGTGATATCCGGCTTCAGGAGCTGCGGGACGATGTAGTTCGGGCCGCGCGAGCTGAAAGCCGCCATAAGCGGAGCCGGGACTCCGAGTCTAGTGCCCTCAAAGTCCAAAATAGCCGTGCCGTTACCGGTCTTTGCGTAGGCCTCCACCTCGGCTCCATCTGAGGCAGTAAGGTGCAGGGCAGGCAGGATATGGGCGTCGGCAATCAGCTCGTCACCGTTAGCGGGTGCATTCACGAGGACCATACCGCGACCACCGGCAGCCTTGACGACGCCACCCTTCTCGGTTCTGCCGTTGTTTCCGCGCACGCAGACGACGACCTTGCCAGCAACCTTGGCGGGGTCAAGGCTGTCTGCCAGGCATAGGTTGGCGTTGGTGACGTTACCCTTGCCCGCCTGGCTTGCGTGGACGAGGGGAAGTACCTCGCCAGCCTGGAGAGGCGTGATATCCGTGACGGAACCATTGCTGTAGAGAGAGAAGCCGGTGTAGTTCTTGCCGTTGCCGAGGGTAACATGAGCAGGGAAGTCACGGTCAAGCGTGCTTGCGGCGACGGTCAGAGCCCAAGGGGCCTACCAGAGTGTTAACAAACCACACCAATGGAGTGAAGCGAGAAAGGAGAATGGAAGCGCGAGAGATACTTACAAGGTTGGCAACAGTGCCTGCTCCCGGACCAGAGTTACCGGCAGACATGGCGACGAAGATACCCTTCTGGACGGCAGCAAACGCACCGAGTGCTGAACCATCATCCTCGCTGAAGGAGGGCTGATCGGGGCCAAGAGAAAGAGACATGACGTTGACGCCATCCTCAATGGCCTTATCCATGGCCGCGAGGATGTCAGAGTTGAAGCAGCCCTCCTTCCAGCAGACCTTGTACATGGCGACACGGGCGAACTCGGCCATACCTCGAGCTGTACCGGAGGCCTGACCGAAAAGGCTAGCGTTCGGTACGGCGGCTCCGGCTGAGGTGGACGAAGTGTGCGTACCATGTCCGTCGTCGTCTCGGGGGGATTGGTACTCTCCGGTCCAGTTGAAGGAGCCCGTGTCGTTGGTGACGGCGGCGACGTATCCCTTGTAAAAGGCCCTCGCGCCAACGAGCTTCTTGTTGCAACTGGTGGCCGGGAAGTCCTCGCTGATCTCACACTCGCCCTTCCAGTTGGCAGGGATGGGCGGCATGCCGTCATCCTTGTAGCTGGGGTTCTCGGGCCAGACGCCCGTATCGAAGATGCCGACGATGAGGTTGGACTCTGGGTTGGTGCCGTTGTAGTCGTCTCTCTCGTCCAGGTAGTTGCCGACGTCGAGCCCGCGCCCAAGGAGCGAGGCATCGTCGATGCCTAGAAAGTTCGGGGTTCTGCTGGTGTGAAGGCGGCAGGCCTTGTCAAGAGTGACAGACAGGACGTCGTCCCGGTCTCTCAGGGCGTCAGCTTGGCCATCTGTGATCTTGGCGGCGTATCCGTTGACCGTGTTCTCATAGTGGTAGAGCACGTTGGCAGGATCGGCGGAAACGGAGATGAGGGAAGAGTCGAACAGATCTCTGCGTCGGAGACCGGAGGCCCCGGTGTGCTTCATCTGGACGATATACGTCTTGCGAAGCTCAGCACCATAGGCGGCCCCCGCGAAGAGGGTGCCCAAGAGGAGGGTGAGAGAAGTCTTTGCCATTGCTGCGGTATTGTCAACTCAATCTGGAGTTGAGTCCTTGGCGTATGGAGGAGATCTTGACGCTGGAGACAGGACGTCGTTGCATTCCACATGCCAACCGAACAGCTCTATATACTCCAATGTGACATAGCTCCCACGGACGGTGAATTACTTCCCCATGTCAGGGGCGGAATGAACAAGACCGTGGCACCACATCGGCGGGATCTAGCCCTTGAGGGTCTCGCAATCTGCACCAGTAAACTTCTCGTACCTGACGATCTCGCAAATAAGCGAAGCCGACATGCAGTGACCAGTCCCAGGAACACTGTTCGTCTGCACGTGTATCCGTTAGCGACCTACCCTTTGCGACCTAAGGGCCGGGATAAGAAAGCTTGAGATAATATAACCCAGGGGTTTATTATTGTTCTGATTGGCTAGAGACTCCGCAACTTGCGGCAGTCTACCAACACTCAAATAGAGTGCCAGGCAACCTTAATCCTAGGAACTAATGTTCGTCCGACGTTGCCGACTGTTGAAGATTTGCGCTAATCAACCAAGAAAGTTTAGCATAACGTTGCCCACCCCGGCTGGGAAATTGCCATGTAGCATCCCGCAGAAACCGGTCCATTGTCACACCCGAATCTCGGTGCTTGGTACAAGACCGCAGAGCTCCAGGTGGTAGGACGGGCGCTGCAGCCTGGAGTCAATGCAAAGGTTCCGTCGGCATACGTGATTTCTAGATGCGGGGGAGTCCTTTTACTTCACGATCGATCCAACGACGAGCGGAATTTCACTAGCGGCGGTTATTCTGTCGTGTTTTTGGTTATTTTAACACACAAGTCCACTCAGTAAAGTTCAGGTCAACTTCTTCCGGTAGCTTTTCGCTAACCAAATGCCATCATATCTGATAAATTGAAAAGTGCTCAGTCTCACTGGCCTTCCTCTTCTGGCATTACGTTTTTGATGACTGTCGGAACGATTACTGATTGGTCGCAAATGGCAATTATCATGCGGCTCTGCCGGCGCCGAAGACCTACGACGGGGCCGCCATTCAATGAAGCTATCTTGAATTGGTAAAATCATCGTTACGCTGGACGATAGCCTTTCAAAACCTCAGTAGCTGCACAAGTGTATCGGGTTCAGTACATCCAGTGTCTAAATGTGTACTCAAGTATTTACTTCTATCAACAGCTCTTGTCACAACCAATCTAATTTACATACATCAAAGGGTCCGAGGCGGTTTAGGCGCCCCAGTCTTAACGGGCTGTGCGAGAGGAGCACCAGATTGTGCCTTGGCCATGGGGCAGAATTTCTTCTTGATGGCACCGGCATCACCGTTGGCGTCCAATGTACCCAGCATGCCCGCGAGCTCGCCCATTCGCTGAGCGATGGAAACGAACATACCAGCTGCGGCAATGTTAGTTCATATTTTGAGCTATGGGAAAGTAAGTGGATGACCGACCTTCAGCGTGCCACAGATAATGGCAATGGAACGCCCAAACACCCGGATTGTCTGCTGTTATGCGGATTACCAGGTGTGAGTATCCTGGGATTGTGATCGTGTCACGGCGCATTGGGTTGTCAAAGTTCCATGTAGTCTTGCTGGCTCCGAAAAGGCCATTGCCCCAACCAATGACTTGGAAGTTCTGGCCTGTCTATAGATTAGCACGTTGGCGGAGAGTAGAGGGAAGTTTGTAAGTAAGTACCACTAAATAAACGGTCAGTCATAGGTTCAGAGTGGATGGTCGTGAAGCAACTTACTGCAAATGCCAAGGATGAACCATCATAGCGTCTGAGTTGACTACGATTTGTGCAGCTTTATCGTCTCGGGACACCAAGACGAACTGATCCTTTCCGAAGTCTAGTTTCGGCTGCGGCGAGTTCAGGTTCTCTGGTGTGATGTCCTGCTGCATGACCTTCCATAGCGAGGCATCGTCGGTCAAAGGTGTATACAGAGTCTAATCACTGTCAGCAGGGTATTATTCAGCAGAACAGCCAAGAGGTTCTTTCAACTCACATCATTGACGTGTGTACGAACGACATCGTTGACGCGCTCCTGCTTGAACGTGAAATAATGGTAATTCCTGTCGCCAACGTCGTAGGCCGGCCTGCTTCTGACAGGCTTTGGAAGGTTGTGTGGCAAATCCTCGCACCTGTCTCCCCATGGCTCCTTGCCTACGCCGGGGTTCGAGTTGGCGTTAAGATCCCACGCCTTGCCAATCGGCGGGACGCCAAGATCCGTCTCGTCATACGATAGGATGGCGGTGGCCCCAAAAGGTGTGCCGTGCATCATGCCCGCCTTATGGTTCTTGTGGGACATGTGGAAGCACCGCACCGCGGCGTCGGCACGAATCAGGTAGTTTCCGGCAGTCTGGTTGGCGTGGACGAGGACGGAGTAGCGTTGACCGGGATTCATATACACACGGGATGTGGCGATTGGAGCGACCTCGACGCCGTCAATCTCGACGATTTGCAGAGGGTGGTCGTCAATCGTAACAAAGATGGGGGTCGATGTGCCGTGGTTGATGAGACGCAAACGAGCTGTTGAGCCACTCTTGACCCGTGTATTGAAGAGGGAACCCCATGTGCACTTGGAGGGAGGCGCACCATCTCTCGGGGTGTTATGGCTTCCCATGTTCTCCATGTTGTGGCCGCTATGGTCCTCGCCTGACTTGGCCTTGTTTGAATCATGGCCTTCAATGCTGGAGCAGTTGAATGTGTTCTTGCCATTGATGATGACATTGTCAGGAGGAGGCTCTCTACCGGGCTTCTTAGGGGCCCAAGGTGGATTGGCGCTTAGGTACTGGGTGAGGAGCTAGAAACCTGTGAGAACCGAATGAGAGTGATAGAGGCCGAGTCAACTCACAGTGCCTCCATACTCATGAAAGAGATCTCCGACCATCACAATCTTGTCATCATCCACAGGGGGTATCTTTTCATCCGGATCGTGGATGATCTACATTGTAGAAGAGCATGTTAGTATCGTCAAGCGCTCACAGGCCTAGGCTTCACCAGCGATGTCTCATGAAGTAGTATGAGAGAAACCTTACCAATGGCCCAAAGAGTCCGTCAGTGACTTGGACTGAAACATGAGCGTGCCACCAGAACGTGCCCCGCTGGTCGGTGACATTGAATTCGTAAGTGAAGCTCTCGCCGGCAGGAATGGCACACTGGCTGACGCCAAAGACACCGTCCATCCAGACCGACTTTCTCTGGTCAATGCCGTGCCAGTGAATCGTGGTACTCTCCTTCAACATCTGGTTGTGCACCGTGACACGGATGGTGTCTCCCGTGTTTGCCTCAATGAGAGGGCCGGGAGATTGTCCGTTGACGAGGATCATTGACTTCTCAAAGCCATCGGGCGAGTGCTGCTGCCGCGTGATGTTGAACACATACTCCCGCATCGACGTCGCATTCGACACCTGGAATCCTGTCTGCAGATTAAACTGCTGATCAGGCGTCAAATTCACTTGCGGTGTTTGCGTAGGGACAAGAGACGAAGTCGTTGTTGGCGTTATCGTCGTCGTGAGTTCCGGCACTGGGTCCGCCGGTGGTGGTGGTGGCGGCGGCGGCGGCGGGGGGCTTTCTTCATGATTATCCTCATCGTGGGCCGGTTCGGCCGGCCGGTCCTTGGTCTGTACATTGAAGAATTGGGCGAAAATGAAAGGAATGAGTGTCAGGATAGACACGCAAGTGAGTACCATGATCCATCGAAACGTCTTCTTGTGGCCCGCATAGCGTCGGTAGTGGCCCTTCTCGCTGTAGTCGGCTGAGTCGGGAAGCAGGCGATCCTCCACGTCAGTCTCCGACGACGATCTGACGCCTAGCATGGGGTCTTGCTCGTCGCGCGTCCCGTCCCGCGGGACCAGGCCGGAGCTCATGGTTGCTGCGCTAATGAGGGAGGGTATACAAATATGACGGCTCAAAAAATATACACAACGAACCTGGGTTCGCTATCAGAAAGAGAGAAAATAATCAGACCCAACAGCAAGACAGACACCCCGGGTTTCTAGCAATTGATGTTCGCCATACAACCTTCGCTGCGTGGGTTGATAAGAAACACGAGAAAACGAAGAACCACGTGGTAAAAGGGGCAAACGGCTAGGATAAAGGAAAAAGCCACCACTAAGATGCAACGGGGATCCTCTCTTTTTGCTTGTATCCGGTCGGCGAGATATTCGGCGAAACGGGGTGATGGACTCCTGGATATATCATCCGTGAAAAGACAAGAGATAGGCCCCGGCGCTTAGCAGCTCGGTAATTGCAACTCTTCTTTAGCTCTTCCGGACCTCTGGAAATTTTCCTATGGAAATTTTGACGCTATGAAACGCGAAACTGCGATCCAAACTATGCGGAAACTTTCAGCCAATTGGACATTTACAAACCTTCCAACCACAGTTCGTTGATCGACTTGCGTCGCCTTGTCAGACAAGTGGTGTTTTCATGTGCATTCCCAATCAAGCTATCTTCCAATCTCTTAAGCGACACTCCGCCTCTCTACGAAGACTTTCCAGTTGAGAATATGCGTCTAATAGAGGGGAGGTTTCGAGGTGCCAAGTTTCCGGTGGGTTCAGGGGCCCGTGTTCGGGAAAGTCTGACCACTATCGTTCGCTAAACAGCCTCTCAATACGACGCCCAGAATCATCCCGTCTTGAGTTCCGGTGCATCGGAATAGGTGTTTCAATTACACGGTGTTCGCCTGCTGGCCCTTCCTTCAAGACCTACTGTCACGGTAATGTGAATCACAAGAAATCTTCGATCGCACTCCAAGTCTGGGATAGACTTTCTCTGTATGACCAAGAAGTATCAGGGTGTGACCCCCGCAGCTTCAATCGTCTCCCCGGCGATGGTCCCCTGATTGACAGGAGTGATCGGCGAACTGCTGTCCACTGTGTATGCCGGGATTGAATCGCTTGTTACTGGTTTAAGTGCATAAAATCCAGCCAAGCCAGGGGCCTGCCAACTTGAGCTATGTTCTTAACTATCATCTGGCACACCCCAGAATTGATGGGTAACGGGCAATCGACACAGACTCTTTACATCGAACTTATTGGGTTCGATACATCCGTACTCATGAGATAGGGTGTTAAAAAGGCTTGGAACAGCGAAGGTCTAAGTGGGCCTCATGATACCATCTACTCCAGCACTGCTCTCTCACTATTTAATTTCGCTCCTCTACCAAGTCGGGGCCAAAAGAGAACACATGGAAGCTGATGTTGCAGAAGCCCATCACCCCACATCACTTACTAGGTACCTAGACTGACTGATTGTTGTGTGAGAATGCACCAAGTTAAACCGATATGGCAACTGTTGTCAACTCCTAATTTATACTTACCAACTAGGGTACTGTTCAGTCGCTACACGACCAAAATGTTGCCTTACTGAGAAGCTGATTGTTGAGCACAAGGGTTCAATTGACAGCCTGTACCTGAGAAACATGACCAAGAAACCCCCCTCAGGCCTGCAGTCCTGTGCTTGTTGGACAATGCCAAAGGAACTTTCGTATAGACCTCGGCCCTCACCAAATTCTGGACGGATTCTTCAGAGGGTGTTGCATCGGCCGTAATGCCTAACATGGACTTAGTTGGTTGACATGGATACACTCGTCACAGTCGTTGGAGTAGGACCGGACGCAGAACATCAATTGAGCATGGTCCGTCTTCCGATCCCCACGGTCCAAAAGGGAATTCGCCAACCATCATCCACGGGCCCGTACGGAATGAAACGTCGCTAAGGAGGGGCAAGTGGGAGACCGAACGCTCAACAAGTCCGCTCCACGTTCCCGCAGGATCCTCCGCAGTTCGCGACGACTTGTCGATCACTCATGAGGTTTCTATCAAGGGCAACGGCAACCAACTCCGCAATGTGGCCATGAGTAATGTTCCTTATATATATATATATAAGTCCGTTCTCGCTCATGCGCCTCTTTAGATCGCACACTCTCAAACTAGTTCACTTGACTTTTCGGACTTTCTTGACGATACCCGACGCACCCTACTTATCAACATCGAAATCAGTAATATCATAATACGAAAATGGCCGAGACACACGGAACATGCGAGGCCAAGTTCCAGGGCGTTCGCGATAAGTTCAGTGAACTCTTGGGATCTGGAGTCGAGCTCGGTGCATGTCTCACTGTCACCATCGACGGCGAGGACGTCGTTAACTTGTGGGGAGGTTACGCTGACGCCAATCGCACCCGCCCCTGGAAGGAGGACACCATCGTAAACGTTTTCTCCACAACAAAAACCATTTGCGCGCTCGCAGGCCTCATTCTCATCAACGAGGGCGAGATTTCGCCCTATGACAAAGTCTCAAAATACTGGCCCGAGTTCGCAGCCAACGGCAAGGAGAATGTCGAGGTCCGCCATCTTCTGTCCCACAGCTCGGGTGTGGCGGCGTTCGAAGACCCCATTACCCTCCAAGAGATGTCCGACTCATATGAGGAGGTCATTTCCAGGCTCGAAAAGCAGCCGGCCCGCTGGGAGCCCGGAACGAAGTCTGGATATCACGCCTGGACCTACGGCTACTTGATCGGAGAGCTGGTGCGCCGAAAGACGGGACTGACTCTCACGGAGTTCGTCTCTCAAAGGATCGCAGGGCCCCTTGGTGCCGATATGCAAATCGGAGCAAAGGAGAAAGATTGGCCTCGCGTTGCAGAGCTGATTCCCCCGCCGGCCCCTCCAGCCCACATTATGCCTGAACAAGACGAGGACCCCGACTCTCTGAAGCACAAGATGCTCCATCCGTTCCCGGATCCTAGCTTCGCAAACACTGAGCCGTGGAAGAAGGCTGAGATTGCCGCAGCAAACGGCCACGGCAACAGCAAGGCTTTGGCAACGATTTGGTCCAGGTACCTTACGATTGGTGATGAGAGCAAGAGACTTTTGTCTCAGAAGACGATCGACCTTATCTACAACGAGCAGACGTACGGTCCCGATCTGTGCATGGGATTCCCCGTTCGCTACGGAATCGGCATGGGTCTCAGGGGCAATGGCAACACGCCGGTGGACTCTTGGTTCCCGGAAGGGAAGATCTGCTTCTGGGGCGGCTGGGGTGGATCGATGCTCATCAATGATCTTGATCGTCGAATCACCATTGCCTACGCGATGAACAAGATGTCGCTTGGTTCTGCAGGCAACGAGGCTGTTTATGCCTACGTTGCTGAGATTTACAAGGCACTGGCCGTTCCCGTAGGAACTCCTAACGCTCAGGCCTAAAGGCTTTTGTGTTGCGTTTGGATAGGGGTGATTCGTGAATAACATCGTCATCCATAGTCGCAGTAGCTGAGGAAACTCGCTATATTAGACACTAAACGCAAATGGCTCATTCATGGCCATGGGTTCAATGCATTGAACTCTGCCTAAAAGTGGTCTCGAAAGCGACTGAACGTCAAAATACCAATTTACAACAATTTGCATACGAATGCTGTTGGAAGCTAGCTACTGAAGACTATAATTTTGGGAAAGTGTGAGTTTTAAACTCTAGTCGCGCTGTTGCAACACCAATTTTTAAACTGAACTTCGCTAATGAACAACTTTTTAGATCGATCTGCTCCCTCATGGCATCGCTCTGATTTCAGTATTGGCAATTACATCATTCCATTCAACAGCTGAAGTCTACTTGTTACCCCGACTCACTTTGTGATCCGAAAAGCCCCATGCCTGATTCCACTGCCTGTAGCTGTCTTGTGTAACTACCCAAGTGAATGTTAAGTTACTTAGGTACGGCACATAGACTTCGTACATTGCATTGCCTTTTAGTTGTTTAAACAGGATAAAGGGGTATACTTACTTCAAGGTTGAGTTTTGTCGTTAGCTCGACCAATCTGTGTTCTTTCTCGATATCCTCGGCAAAACGAGCAACTCCGGCCCACGGGTACATGTCTCGAACCGGATGAATTGCTTCGTAGCGAGGCACACCGACTGACTAGTTGTCGACATGCTCCCATGCCAAAATTGCACGAACATATCTGGGGTCCGGACCCCGGACCCCTGTGGGGTAGGGCTGGCCGTATCTGTGATATCCCAGCGGTTCGTTGCCAAAGATATTTGCTGGGCACTAAGTGCTGTGGCAATGCTACATGCCTGCATTACTGCTTATTTCATTGCATATCTAGGGCGAAAAAACCCACCACTGCATGTCAAAATGGAAGCAATGTCACCAATGGCCCGTAGACTCGGCCCCGGGGTTCTCTTCTGACCCTTGGCTGCATTAGCAAATTCATCGTGGGCAGTCATGTCGGACTCGCACATATCTTTACGGGTGTCCGCGTCTCACTGCACTTTCCTTTCTCCTCTCTCTGCTGTTTAGCCAGGCAGGATTTTCGCTCATTTACTTGTCAAGTTCCTTGATCGCATCGATCGCCAATTTTCAATATGCGCCTTTTGGATCTGGGCCTTCTTGCCCTGCATGCCAGCGCGCTCAGTTTGGCTAGTCCCGTTTCCCGCTCAGCAGAGTCCGACATAGATCTTGTGACTACCGAGAGGCTCCAACAGCTTGCGAGCTTAGCCCAGACTGCCTTTGACAAGACAAAGTCAGAGGTCGAGGGCAGTGAAACGAAAAAGCGCAGCAGCGCATGCTCTTGGCATGATGTTCGTGTCCGGAGAGAGTGGTATGTTTTTGCCTGCCATCGTCAAAGAATTGTCCCTGTAGTTCGTTATGCTTACATTGCGATTTCTTAGGGGCACGCTGAGCAAATCTGAGAAGCTTGACTACATCAATGCTGTCAAGTGTCTTCAGTCCAGGCCGGCCCGCACACCCGCTTCACAGTCTTCTGGGGCTAAGACTAGGTTCGATGACTTTGTCGCAACTCACATCAACCAAACTCTCACCATACACTATACTGTCTGTTTTATGAGATGACAAAATGTTGATTAGA